ATTATTTTTTTTTATAAATTTATACTAGTGTACAAGACTTTTTAATTGCTTATTCTGATATATCATGTACTATCTATAATATTGTAGGTCTGTGAAAGTGGTCATGTTGTCAATAGGTGGTGTTCACAGCCCCTTCTAAACAGAAGAATGCATGCCGGAGATTTAGTTTTTGCTTCTGCCATCCTGTTGTCCGGCAACAATTTCCAGAAAATAACAACTCTGTCTAAATTCATGAAACTTCCAATACTGAGCTCCTCAACCTTTCACAGAATTCAGAAGACTTACCTTGTCCCATCAATTGACCGATTTTGGATCCAGAAGCAGGAGGATACTTTAAGAGAATTTGAGAACACCGATGTAATTGTTTTAGGCAAGTATTTAAAACTCAAAATATTAATTTAGGAAAGTATTTCAAACTCAAAATATTAATTTAAGGTAAGTATTTCAAACTCAAAATCTTATGTAAAGTATTTAAAATAGATACATGCGAGTAAAAAGAACATAATCATGTTACATTTTTTACATTTAATTTTTCACAGTAATATAAGAATTAACAGGAATTAAAATAAATTTGTTCTAAAAAGATATCTTGGTTTGCTCTAGTTTTCTCAGATTAAGTCATGTTCCATTTTTCTTAAATAAAGTCCCAATATTTTAACTACCAGTGCAATATAAATCAGTGAACTAGAAAAATTAATTCTACACATTCTTCCTTTTTTTTTTAGGTGATGGACGTATGGACAGTCCAGGTCACTGTGCGCAGTACTGTTCGTACACGTTTATGGAGTATACCACCAAGAAGATATTATGCATCACAACAATGGATAAGAGAAGTACTGACAGGAAAAGCACCAACCTTGAGAAGGCTTGCTTCCTGAAAGAGATGAAATTTTTTAAAGATAAAGGCATAAAAGTTGTGGAGGTGGTGACAGATGCACATGTCCAAATAGCTTCAGTAATGAGTAAGAACATTATGATATTCTCAAGGCAGACATTTTGATAAACAAGTACTCAGATATTCAGACTTTATTGAGCCATAAAAACAAGTATCAAGTTTTATCCTTAACTTCATTACTGAGCAAAGATCCAGTGGTGTTGTAATTTAAAATTTTGAATTTTCAGTTTGTGATATTAATACATTTTATAGGACTTATTTTTGATAACAGTAGAATTGATTGATTGATTGTTGGTTGCTTAACGTCCAGTGGCAAATATTTCATGCATATTCAGGACGAGAACAAATTAACAATAAATACAATAGGTAGGTTCTGTAATAGAGGCGTATGGGGTTGAGGTCGGAGAAATTTAGACTGCCACGGGAAATGAGGGTATATTGGATAAGGACAGAAATTTAGCCTTGCAACAGGCCACCTACGGACCCCTCAAAGAGTTGTTGCAAGGGTTCTTAACGTGCAAAGAGCGTGGCACTCTCTTTACACGAGGCATCGGATTTAACGTCCCCATTCTGACCGGACGTGGCTGCAAATTTGTACATCCCGCACAGCCAAACGGACGCCCCACTTTGACGAGGGTTTTACCGCCGGTCGGAGGAAGACCAATGGTGACCATACTTCTATTCCCCAGTCACCCTTGGGGAAACAGTAGAATTAATTATTTAATTATACTAATGATGTTCTATTTATGACAATCGCAAACCTTTTTATGTTTTAGAAAAAGAATTCCCTGAAATCAAGCATTCTTTTGATGTCTGGCATGGAACAAAGAACTTAGGAAAGAAACTCACAAAGGTAAAAGATGTGTGAAATGCAAACCATGACTCCATCTTCAAATTTAAGAATGATGTTATTGTGGCAATTTGGGATATATTTTTTGAGGTGTGATTCTAAATTTCACTTCATAACTAATTTTTAAGATCAAATCAGAAAATGGTTTCTGACTTATATTAAAGTGCAAAATATGTTAATTGTAGCGAACCAGCCGTGAGATACGGGTTTAAAATTGTAGTTCATTTTCACCTCATCCATCTGCTTTAAATTTATTTATTATATATGCACAAATGTTCCAAGCTTCAATTTTGATTAATGTAAATAAAATTTGTTCTTGTAGATAAGTCAAGAGAAAGAAAATAAAGAATTACTTGTATGGATCAAAGATATTGTCAACCATTACTGGCACACTGCAGAAGTTGCTACCACCAGTGAAGAGTTCCTCGTAAGTTTTCATTGATTCATTTAAGGATGTTCGCTCCTCTTGTTTTTGTATTTTTGCCAGATATTCGGAATCCTCTGGTTTTATCCATGTAGTGCCATTACAAATTTTTGCCCACTAACCCCTACTTTCCTTTTCATAATTTGATTAAATATAGTTTAAAATACCATCTTTGAAAATCTTATTAAAACCATGTTATTTTTTCATACTTTTAGACAGAAAAAAGGTGCCAATGTTAAATGTATGAAAATCTAGAGAGAATCATTTCCCGCCAAATTTTCAATGGCTTATATCTTGAAAACAAGCACACGGACCCTTCATTTTTATCTGCTTTTTTAGTTCCTTTATTTATATACTATCAATTTATAAGTCTTTTAAAAAGCTTATTATTTTGAAACACAGTAGCGAACATCCTTAAGGTACAACTTCTTGTCCACTTGTTTGACAAAGTGAACATTGGTAAGAGCAAGTTTGAAGTAAGTTATCATATTTGTTAATCAAGTTGATAAAACACATTGTCTGTAATATATTCAGAATAAATGATGTCTGTAATATATTCAGAATAATGAAGTATTCAATTGTTACAGGCATGCTATGTTTATAAATCATAGGATAGAAACCGATAGAAAGAAAACTTTTATATGGACTTTGTTCATTGTTGAAGGCTGTACGGTGACCTATAGTTGTTCATTTCTGTGTCATTTTGGTCTCTTGTGGAGAGTTGTCTCATTGGCAATCATACCACATCTTCTTTTTTTATATTTGATGACTTCCATTGTTCAAGTGTAATAAATACTTGTCACATTGCCAAATTGAACCACAACTTTTCATTTTAAATTCATCTTTTGATGACTATATTTATATATAATTTTTTTTAGGATGTTTGGTATGGTGTACTTCACCATGTTGTCAATGAACACCAGTGGTTTGTGCCATTTGCCAACTGTTGCCAGCATGGACCATTGGTTTTGGAAGATGGAACACAGTCAAAGGAGTATTTAAAGAAAGGGTCCCCACCACACAATGAGCTGAGAAAAATTGTTATAAACAAGCACCTGGTTAACAACATACCATACTACCTAAACTGTCGGTACGGAAACTATCTTATATCATAACTTCCTCCACAATAGAAAACAACCAAGCCACTGTCAACTAAATTTCATAATCCTTTGATGTAGGTCAAGTGTTATATTTTTGATGGAAAGCTGATATAAATGGACGGATGCATTTTCTGTAATAGTTCTATATGACATTTTTTTGTTTTTACAGAGTATTGATAATTTTATTTGTAAATGTTCTGTCATAATGACAACATTGTCATATTGCCTTTTTTTGCATTTTAGGAGCACATCAGAGTCAGAAAACTTTCAGAATCTTATTCTAATGTATGCCTCCAAGAGACACTCTTACAGTCCACCAGTGTATCGAGCAAGGAACAGGTTGGCAGCTATAGACCATAATGCCCATGCAGAACGAGAAGTGATGAAGAACAGAGATGGTTCTTTAAGGTTTGTATGATTTGTCAACTATACAAAAAAAGGATAGCAGAAATTGCCTAAATTATTGGACGGTACCAGAGATAACACCAGCCCCTCCAAAAAAAAGACAAACAAAAGACAACTCATAGCCTGATTAGGTAGAGGCACTAAATGAGAGAAAGGGGGGTGCAAATTAACTTATTTTTTAAATTTATAACTCACAGAAACACCCCTCTCCCATTTTGCCTATCCCCACTATTGAATTTGATGGCAGAACCATTAGTCAGATCATAGTGACTAACATACCAAAAATATATGTTTAAAAATCTGCAAACAACATTGCAATGTGGAAATTGATGGCAATATTAATTTCAAAAAGTCACTTGCATGACATTGTACTCAAATTTGGCATATATTTGTAAACTGATGACCTGAAATATTTGAAGTTAGCCATGAATGTTACTGTTGCATTCAAGTGATACCTCAGTAGTATTAAAATTTTAATTTATGAATTTGTAGGTGGCAGAGAAGTTACAACAAGAAAACTTCCAGATGGTCTGTTCACCCTGTGAAGGAGGAAAAAAATTATGATTACATTCAAGACCTCATTAGACAAGTTCTCTGCACCAGAATAGAAGATGGCATAGGAATGAACCGACGTCTTGAGTTGGAGGAAGATGATCCACGGCGGATATCTGCACATTTGGCACCTGTACCACCCCCACCAACAAGAGACATTGTGGCTACCCAGATATCTAGATTTGAAAATCTAAATAAGACAATAGACTACTGGACTGCCGAGGGGCATTAAAGTTTTTTTTTATCTTTAAATACTGTAAATTCAGAATTTATTTTGAGGGTTATTATTATTGCAAATGATGCGACTGGGTGAGTATTGCAATAATAACAACTCTCTTTCTGAAATCTGACACATACATGTGTGTGCTACTATTCCTGTACAAATAGCAATAATAAAAGTTCTTATCATCTTTAAATACTGTAAATTCAAAATTTATTTATCTCTCGTTCTGAAATCAGCTTTTCCTGTATAAATAGCAATAATTATTTTCACATTTTGGTCATGTTGAAATCTCATTAATAAATGTAATTTCTGAATTAACAATGTTCTAGTATTGTTTAAAGACACTATCATGTTTATATTTGTAGGTGGCAGTTATCTGCATATTTGGTACTGGTACTATCCAACAAGAAGAGACATTCATTGTGGCGACTACTGGACTGCTGAGGGGCAATAAAATATTATAACTTTGAAAAATCTTTTATCATTTTTTTTTATATTTGATTAGACTTCGTGTCTATTAAAAAAAAATTGAGCTTAAAACAAGATGAAGATGTTGTATGATTGCCATTGAGACAACTATCCACCAGAGTTCAAATGAAGTATAAATCATTTCAATATTCACTTTTATCACATATTTATATGTCATATGTTGAAAGTAAAAAAATGGTTATGAGACAATGACATGAAGACAGCACATCACCTAAGGTAACAAATAAAAACAGAAATTCCAGAATTATCATTTTAAGTTCTGACAACACATGGGAATACCCACTACGAAAACTTCCTGACTTTAAAGCAAAAATAAAAACATGTTGGTTTTCTTCACATTTAATTATACCTCCCCCCTACAAAACCTTTATATTGTCCAAATGGATTGGGATATTTATCCCTGATCCTCCACACACAGCAGCTTGGGATCACTCGACGATCTCCTGCCCCTAGTCTTCCATGTACCCAGACAATATATTGCCTATAGGCTGCAAAGCGATTTGACCTATTGAAATCCTCATCCTGAGGCATGATGAGTAACTCCTCCTGAAGCCTTCTTGCCACAGCAAGCACTGCCTCATCTAAGACTATCAAGAAGAAGTCCTGAAAAAAGAAATATTTATGCTAATTTTATTTCTTATCCACGTCATACATTACATATACAGTTAATAATGATTTTGAATACTGAAGAAAGGTCACCACAGTTAATTAGAACATTGTCAAATGATTGGTTATTCTTCGATTACAATGACAGAACAAAAGCCACTATTTACTTGTGTGATGATTTTAAAACCCATAAACGGGAAAGTACACTGTACAGAAAGAGGTCTAACACCTCTATTTTTGTAATAGAAAATAAATATTTTCTTTATATATTTTTGATTGATTGATTGATTGTTGGTTGCTTAACGTCCAGTGGCAAATATTTCATGCATATTCAGGACGAGAACAAGTTCACAATAAATACAATAGGTAGGTTCTGTAATAGATTAAGGGGTTAAGGTCGGAGAAATTTAGACTGCCACGGGAAATGAGGGTATATTGGATAGGGACAGAAATTTAGCCTTCCAACAGGTCACCTACGGACCCCTCAAAGAGTTGTTGCAAGGGTTCTTAACGTGCAAAGAGCGTGGCACTCTCTTTACACGAGGCATCGGATTTAACGTCCCCATTCTGACCGGACGTGGCTGCAAATTTGTACATCCCGCACAGCCAAACGGACGCCCCACTTTAGCACGGGTTTTACTGCCGGTCGGAGGAAGACCAATGGTGACCATACTTCTATTCCCCAGTCACCCTTGGGGGGTATATATTTTTGAAACAATATTTATGGACTAGAAGTAAAAAATGAACAAGAACATCAATATTTCCTCAGTCAGTTCTGCAATATAATAACTTGTCATGAATTGGGTACGTACTGGTATCCGGGAGTAGCAGTTCAGACTTGTTCTGCCACAACACCGCCTCTCCGCCTCAGTTGGCATCTCCCTACAGTAGGTGCAGGTACACCAGTCAGGGACTGAACTGTTGGGCGAAGGATGATGCCCACCTTGTTGAGTGTCGTCTTTGTCCAGGACATCAAAGACAAACCCAGGGTGTTGTGTGGCAATGGAACTCACAAGTCCCCTCAGGTCTTCCTCCGTCAAACGAGAAATTCTTTCCTGAAAAAGGTTAAAAAGTCATAAAGATTGTATTTTAAAGTGGTCTAACAAATTGATATTTCGATAGAACCAAGCATGTATGTCAGCTATAAGTCTTGGTTGAACAAATCATTAGTCTCAAGTTCGTCATTATATTTTCTACCTGCAATGACCGTTTTTATAGGTCAATTTTAAGATACTTTGATAGCTGTGAAAAAAAAAGAAATTTTTTGAAAACATCTAACTAAAGCTGAACCATTATGTCACAGACCAATGCTTGATGAATATTTCTTTAGGTAAACATATCCTAGAATGAAGTTTTGTATACCTGCAACTGGCGATTCCTCTCCTCTAAGGTAGCTGCAGCTACCTCTGCCCTGTTGGATCCAACTCCTTGGTTGGCTCCTCTACCTCTTCTAGCGCCTCTTCCTCTTCTTGGTTCCCTTCCCCTCCTGGTGTTTCCACGTCCCCTTCCTCTACCCCTCGCCCTTCTTGCATTGCCAGGTGTAAATTCTTCACTCACCGTACTTTCATGTCTCTCATCATGTTCATGTGGAGACCTAGACCTAGACCTTGGGCTATTTGAGTCCTGAAATGGTGCATATAAATAGAATAAGAAACTAAATAAACAAAAAAGACTCGAGAAACAAGCCCGTGAAAATTCTGCTTCTTTGTTACCAAGTTGATTAAAATAAAACCAGAAATTACCTCAAAATAGTTTTGTGGAAAAAACGTAATTTTATTTGAAATATAGCCTACTGTCAGAGTACTGCATAGTTGTACGATGTTGAAATATTTTGGAAATAATTAAAAGCTGCATGACTACAATAACTACAGTGTAACATCTATTGTTCAATGATAAATATTCATTTCACAATACGTAAAAGTCTCAAAATGTTACTAGAAAATGTATTCAGAACATGTCTGAGATTTATTGTGTTGTCCCCACGTGAGGCCTCTTTCGCACACGATTCCTGAAAACGTATCGTAACATACTAAATATTACAGTAAATGAAGATGAATCAGACTCTACCAGTAAATATGAATGAATGAGTTCAAAATATAAATAATGCAATTCATGGAATATATTTTAGCAGTAATAATTCAGATATTTTAATCAATATTCACACAGTACCTACCTCAGCATCCATGATTAGAATCTGGGTCAGCGTCTTTAAATACATTCGGCAGTTATCGGAAGCGTCACCGGAATCTGGGTCAGTGCATAATTAATAAGATTCCACTGGCATAACAACACCATCTTTTTTGACAAAAACGCCGATTTTACACAATATTATTACTTTTTTCGATTTGGAAACATTATTATACTCTTATCTACGTCAATACCCATCAGTTTTCAATGTTTAAAAAAATACGATTTTGATAGACAATATCCCTTTAAGTTCTCAGAGGAGATATTTGATATAGTAATTGAAATTCAAACTTTTAATCATGTTTATCTATCTAAATGAAAACAAATTAGAGTGGGCCTACACACTGTATCTCGTATCTTTGTATTGCCTTTTACACCTTCCCATGCTGACGCCAGTATCACTATTTTGCGGGCTGCGGGTTGCGGGCTGCAGGCTGCGGGTTGTGGGTTGCGGGCTGCTCTATTTCATTAAATTACAAAGTTACATAAAAATCTAAATACTAATTTTCCTTTACAGGTTTAACGTTAATGAAGAGCTGTGGCATGAGCGCATGGTACGCCTGTCGCTTTTTCGATGAATAAAGTTCCATTACTTCTCAATGTCATATCAGAAATTTATAAAAACTAAAGGGAGGTTATTTCAATAGATATAAACCAGTCACCAAAGTTTCATGAAAACTGCTCAAAACATTCTTGAGTTATTGTCCGAAAACTGGAACCCCCCTTTTTTTAATGAATAAAACCACATCACTCGGAAATGTAAAATGTAAAATTTATATAAATCGTAAGGGAACTTATAGATATAAACAATTCGCCAAACTTTCATGCAAATTGGTTAAAGAAAAAGGGAAAGAAATAAAAAACTCATGATCAAATTTTGTTAAAAATAATTGAAAGAATATTAAAAGAAGATGACTTTAGTCCAGATGATGAAAATAAAAAAAAAAAAGTATTTCTGTATCACAAATTTGAAAAAAAATATACATTATTTTATTTTGATTTAAACCTTTATTTGTTTCTCCAGTTTATTAAGACATATTGACTGACCATAGAAATGAAACATTAAAATAGTAAATTTTGAACTTAAACAAATTGTATCTGACAATATATATATATATTATTCGTCTAAACAACACGTCACTGCTTCAGACGTACTTATTATATATATATTCCAAATACCGTTTCGATTCCTAACATCACTGAAGAGACATTAATTGCCGAAATCCGGATATGGTGTACAAATTTTTGCACCTCATGTTTGCGGTATACCATCTTTTCCGCAAGTTTATTGTTTTCTGTTTGGTATTAAATTATAATAATTATATATATAAACCAGTTTTTGGACAAAAACTCAAGAATGTTTTGAGCAGTTTTCATGAAACTTTGGTGACTGGTTTATATCTATTGAAATAACCTCCCTTTAGTTTTCAATTTAGACTTATATATATATATAATTGTAAACATATAACTATTGACTTATGCGATAACTTTTCTTTTCTTTCTTGTAAAGACACTTTGTATTCACTTGCTGTATGTTCTATGGCTTCTCTTTCATTAAGTTTTGGTACTTTATAAAATTATTTCATTTTTATTTTAAGGATGAAAGGTCTTTTTTATATATATGCAAAGGGATGCTGAATTGCACATAACTATTACATCTCCTTTACTTTTATTTAATGAGTTTGGACAGAAGAACATAAATCCCTCAATTGAAACAATATCAAACAAGTTATATAAAATTTTGTCTGAAGAATCTGTCACTAAAACCAATAAATCCATCCTAAAATTAGATGGTTCGATTCACACAATAAATTTCTGACCTTAAAAATTTGGTAAATCTGGCTAATTATCTATAGGTTTCAATTAAAATCATGTTTTATCTAAAGAAAAGGAGAAAAAGAAGAAACACAAACAAATAGGAAGAAAAGTGATAATATATCCTTAATATAACAATCTATAACAACACAAAGCAATGTGTTATTGCACATAAATAGTTTAAGGTCTGTATGCCAAATGTATGACAAATATGAGATGATCTAGAATCATAGTAAGATAAAATCTTAGCAATCTTTGGACACTTTTAAATTACTTGAATTATTAAAAAAATTCTGTTCAAGTATGATCATTATTTTCATTATCACACTTAATTCAGGGAAATTTTAAGAAAATTATGTAATTTCTTCCTGAAAAGTTACTTTTCGTACACTTTAAATAGTGTCATTGCTTTGTGTGATAAAAGCACTGGCCTAGCTGGTTAACAATTTTTACTTTTTATCAATTCTATAATAAGTGATATTTTTGGTTTTGATATTTTCTATTTATTTTCTGATATATTGGTATAATAAATGACCAGCAATAAATCATTAAAAGTCTGTTAATAATAATACACATTCTTACACAATTTTTTGAAATTTCACAAATATAACCTTTTACAAGTATATACAGTGTTTTGGTGATTTTTTTTTCTTCCCTATTTATTGTTCAACTGACTTATTAGATCGCAACCCGCAGCCCGCAACCCGCAGCCCGCAACCCGCAACCAGCAAAATATACACACTCTGCTGACGCGGGTATATACATAGACAACAATGTAGACTGTACAGCGTTGGATAGGTTTAATCCACCATTTTTTACATAAGAAAATGTCTGTACCAAGTCAGGAATATGACAGTTCTTATCCATTCGTTTGATGTGTTTGAGCTTTTGATTTTGCAATTTGATAAGGGACTGTCCTTTGAATTTTCCTCGAAGTTCAGTATTTTTGTTATTTTATTTTTTCTGTCATCGAAAGTAGTAAGTCGTTGATCCATCTATCAGTAAACCAACATCGTAGATAGCGGATAAAGAGGAGCTGACCCAGCACGTCCTTTCAGTCGTGACTGAGGATAGAATGTTAAAAAAAGAATATATTATATGGCAGTTTTTAACGACCTTGAATGGCTATAACAGCCCTTGCACGGTCGGCCATAAAAATAGAAAACATTGCTTACAACTTTATATACTAGCAACGACATTATTATTGTCCATTACCTGTTTAACGTAGCTGGCTACCTATATGGAAATTGATATTCTATATTTAGTGGTTGATAGTTTATGGATTTTGTTTGCAATTTTCCCGAACCTCAAAGCAGACTTAGGGTAATAACAGTATGTTGACTGACAGTTAACGTTGCGAGTTGTACACGTAATGAAGACTTTTTTCTTGATTGTAAACTGAACAGAACTTCAGAGAACGAGGTCGCTAATACTCACAACGACACAATTATTTTTTATTTCAGCTGATATCCAAGTACAGCGCTTTCGCGCTGATTCGGAGCGAAAAATAACTATGAAAGGTATATTTGAGACCAACTCTCCAGAAACAATCTATAGAAATAGGATACATGTATCAGGCACTCAATATTACATCGTCACTGTAGCAGACAGCTAAAAATCTATACTTACTTTTGAAGTTCTGCAATCTTAAAATTGTGTTTATCTGCCACATGTGTGTTTTCATTCAAATTAACGTAGTGTTCAATTCAATTAAATATTTTTAAGTGGATAAACTCTCCATAGATCATGAATGTTCGAGATATTCATTATCTTCCTTAAGATGCGTTTGTCATTTATGACTTAACTTTCCGCACCACCAAACGACAAAATTATTTTTCTTTTGCATGATCAATAACATCCTGTATCAATTGATCGCATGAAAACTGTTCCGCTTATCTTAATTCCTTGCACATTATCACAAATAATAGAATGGACTTAAATCGTAATAATAAAATCTACATTTTGAACACAATCACCTTGAAAATGTTGAACGTCAGTCCTATTTGAAAACGGTAAACGGACAGAAAGTCACAAGTTTGATAGGACAAAAGCCGGTCTCAAATAATTTGTTGACAATTGTTTGAATATATAGCAGAAACATCTTGAAATATTTTCTCTTTATTACATATATTTATTTTTAAGTTTAGGAAATTGTTCATACGCCTTGATAGATGAAAATATATTCAATGTTAATCATGCAAAGGATATATTTCTTGGCACAATGAAGCCATTTAAGTACCAAGCCACTTTGACATTTTGTTTTCATAACAATAATTTGATCATTATTGATATTTATTGAATAAATTTTAATTACAAAGTTGCTTCATATTTAATAGTTCAAGAAAAAACAAAAACAAATATTTCAAAATTAGTGTTTTATTATTCAAAGAAAACTAATCTCAAAACTGAATTGTGACTTTTTCTACTTCTTCTTTCGTTACAGAAAACCATCAACGTACTGATGTTTACTTTCCGGCGCATGCCTGGTAAATGTTTCCAAATGAATTTAAGGAAAAATTTTGTCAGAACATAAAATAACAAACTTTTTAGTTTGATGTTGTTTTTATTACTATTTGTTTGGTCGTATGTATATATATTTTCATATTTTCAATTTTTACATTTTTTCTGTTTTTAAGTTGTGCATTTTTTATTAAGTTTTTTTTAATATTACATTTTTAATTTTTTATTTTTGGTATAAGATAAAAACAAGAATGTCTGTTTATTTCAGATGTGGGTAAGTACCAAGGAGCACATCGTGGGTGAGTGCACTCTTGAAGGTTTCTGTAGTAGTGTTTTTAGTAATATCAGAGGATAATTTGTTCCAGTCTTTAATTGTTTTGACAGAAAAAGGAAAATTTATAGCTGTCTTTATTACAATGAATTTGTCTGTAGGATTCTTTATGGGTGGATCTTGTAGTAGACTTTAAATTTTATCACGTTATCTTAATGTTCATTTTTATTTGTAAATAATCAATTTGCTTTAATCTAGAATTTTAGTTTATTGAAGGGCCTTTTGTCTGATTTTAAGAATATGCTTTAAATTGTAAACAATATTCGAATTAGCTCTCGCCGCGATATAGCCTTGTTGTGCTAATGCGGCGTAAAGCAACCAACAATCAATCAATCAATCTTGTAGTAGACTGGCTTTTTTGTAATAAATTTTGCGATGGAATTGCAATATTT